TTTTTTTTATTTTTTATTTTTTTTATGTATGTTACCGCATAACTTTGCCCGACGTCAACCGATTTCAATAATTCTTTTTGCAAATTCTTTTGGAAAGGTAGTGTCTCAGAGGTGGCCCCGTGCTAATTTGGTTTAGATCCGATCATTGGATCATGAAATATATAGATGTATATATATTTTTTTTTTAAGTCGGTTTTTTTTTGCTAAAAATTAGTTGTTATCGATAAAATCACACATGCACACATCAAAATTCCCTACGAAAAAAAAATATTTTTTAATTTTTTTTCTTGAAAAATGTTCCACATACAATTTTTTTGGTTAAAAAAAATAGTTTTTGAAAAGATGCCATCTCAAAAAAAAAATTGGAAAAAATCACAATGGTAGCTCTGAGTATTGCGCAATATTTAAGTATAATGTTATGGGGTGCACTCTACAATAATTTGAGTTATGAATTTTTATTACACCGAAGTTGAGTAAAATGAGTACATTACAATTAAAAAAAAAAATAAAATTTTGTTTAGAATTTTTTTGAGTATGCAATTTTGTAGCCCATTAAATTTGAGTATAATAAAGTGCAAGTGTTAAGCTACTGCAAAATTGCGTTGATTTTTAATATTGTTTATGCTCACGGCTTCTTGCACTTTTTCCTTATCGATGAAAATGCCTAAAACCGTTTTCAAAGAAAAAAAAAAAAAATTAACGGCAGTTTTGCAATCGCTTAAGACTTCCACTTTATTGTGCTAAAATTTAATGGGTTATAAAACTGCATATTCAAAAAAATTCTAAAAAAGTTTAAAAAATTTGTAAATTGGTAATGTACTCATTTTACTCAACTTCGGTGTCATTGTGATTTTTTCCATTTTTTGTTGAAATGGCATATTTTCAAAACCTAATTTTTTTATATCAAAAAATTTGTATGTGGAAAATTTTTCAAGAAAATATTCAAAAATATTTTTTTCGTAGGGAATTTTGATGTGTGTAAGTGTGATTTTATCGATAAAAACGTTTTAATTGCGTATGCATGTTCACTTTGAGCAAATTGTGAGCACTGGTTGGGGAAATCTTCGGTAGATTGGGCAAATCGCTAATTGGGCCCCAATTGGGCCAAAATTAGAGCCCAATTGGGAAAAACTTTTGGCTCTGATCGGGCAACCTCAAAAAAAATCCAGCAAGGAAACTTTATCATAATGGGCAACAATTGTTGTGCCCTCAACTGGCACGAAAATCTGCTAGCATCATATAAGTGCACTTTCAGAAAAAAAATCATAACTCGAAAATGACGAAATTGAGCATATTGCTACTCGTACTGAAAATAGTTTATACTATTCCCTAATAGACAAAAAAGTTTGAGAGAAAAAAAGATCTGGCAATTTGAAAAAAAATCAATTTGAAAAAAAAATTTGTTTATAAACAATTATTAATTTAAAAAAAAAATCGTTAAAATCCTTGCTTTTTTGCGGCAGTTATAAACGATTTCATCAAATGTTGCTATTAAGAGAGGAAAAAAGAAGCGTTCATACTCAAAAAGAAAAAAATTCATTATTCGAAAAATTCGCATTTCTGAGCAAAAATTGATTTGAGATGGAATGAGCCATATGTAAAATTAAGATTTTATGAAAAGGAGATCACAAAAAAGTAAAGAAACTACATAAAATGTAGATACAACATAAATACAACACATATACGTACATATGTACATATGTATGTAGACCCTAATACTAATACTAATAATAATAATAATAATAATAATAATAATAATAATAATAATAATAATAGACCCTACCAGAAAAAAGTTGGCATAGCTCCCCTGAGTTCTTATTATCAGTGATCGGACTTCTACTACGTTGTGGTAGATCTGCCACTTTTTTGAGCATCTACCACATCTACCACTCAAGGTCTGAAATCTACCATATAGTTATTCGCGTTTCTGAGTAGTTTTATTTTTGCTTGACATAATTTTCTTAATTTTAAGAGCAAAATTTGTCCAACACTAAACACGATATGGAAACAAGAATGATATAATACAAGATTCCGCATTCCCGGTGACGATGAAATTTCTCAAGTAAAAGTAAACAAAGCCGAATGGGAGGATAAAATAAACTGTAAAATAGTCAATTTTCTTAGTAATCAATTTTTCGACAGGAAACGCGGTTTTATTGTGTTAAATTGCAAAATATATGATTTATAAAAAGAATTAATAGCGAAAATGTAAAAAAACTGCGATTTTTGTGAAAGTAATAGCAAATTTAAGTGCATTTAAGGTTTCTGAGGCGTTGTTTACTTTTACTTGAGAATTGTCAAAATCGGCAAATCCCCATTATCTGTTTCTGAAACGTGCCAAATTTGTTCGCCGCATCGTGATGTGATAGAAAGAAAAGCTGGCAGCACTCCGCAAGGTTTGCAAAATATGTTCGAAAAATATCTTGATATGGAAGCTTTACACTGTCAAGGAAAAAAATTGCCAAAACTCAACGCAATTTTTGGCAACTTCAATCTTGCACTTTATTATAATAAAATTAAATGTTTTTAGAGTCTAATTAAAAAGTTTGCTATTTAGGTGAAACCTTGCAGATTTTTTTTAATTTTTGTATACGGTTTGATCCAAACCCAGAGATCTACCACATTTTTTTCACAGATTCTACCACACAGAATTTTTTTTTTTGAAGTCCGATCACTGACCCGCATCCATTGGAAATTTTTTGTAACACAAAGTACGTGCACCAGTTTGATACATATCGAGCCCTAACCGCCAAAATAACGTAAGCGACATTTTTGTTCAAAATTTTATTTTTGATGCAGAATTATTCCTCGGGCGTCTAGATGTATTTCTGCATCGAAAAGAAAATTTTGAAAAAAATTGCGTTTACGTTATTTTGGCGGTTAGGGCTCGATATGGAAAATTCCCTAGTATTCAATGAAATGTTGGTTTTATTTTTATTTTTTATGAATGACCAACGTTTATTCATTTCCTGATAATAAGAAATCAATTCAAAACATTAACTATTTTTCTTAATATTTTAATACGTTTTCGAAATTTGCATCAATTTGATACAAACGATGGATGCGGTTGTCTTTTTTTGTTACAATGTTCATTGAACTCAAGTAGCCCGTTATAGTACTTACCCACTATACATCAGTTCTTATCACTCTAAAATACCACCCTTAAAGCTCACCAAAACACAGAAAAGTTTGCTAAAGAAAGTGTTTCGATTATTTAAGTACAATTATTGCCGAATATATGTATGTAGGTGTCACTGAAAAATATAAAAAGGCGATCCCGCCTAGGTTCGGCAGGGGTGTACGACGATTTTTTTTTTTTGGTCAGCTTATAAGTTGATGCGGTCTAATGTACATACATATATAAAAATGTACATAGATCATTGTTGGTAATCTTATAAATATGCAAGTTCCTACATACTTAAATATGAGGCCTTGGGAGCCAAAGTAGCTTAACTGATATAAAAAAAAAAAATTTGGTACTACCTAAAATGCATATGATATTTATTACTAAAAAATTTTTTTGTAGATAGGCTCCTCTGGCTCTCATATACTATGTACATATCTATGCAAAAATAACTCATTTAGATAATCGTTATCGCACACACTAGAAAATAAACGAAACAGGAGTACAAACAAAAGTACCAAAAGTCTTAAAGTTTTCATTCACTTTATCAAAAATTGCCATTTATTATAAACACAAAAAAAATTGGATATATATTTACTCGTACATACTATTGCACAGAAAAATAATAACAAGTCATAAATGAAAAAACGTACATATGTAATTAACTTGATTGTTTTGTTTGCGCTTTCAGGGGCTCGTCTAACAACTGAGTCAAACGCTTCGTGAAAAGACCAGTGAATTATCACAACAAATACATTCATTCATATATACGAATATAGAGAGTAGTATGGAGAACGTTAGAACTTTCTTTGCTGGGCAGAATAAAGACGGCACTTTGACAAACAATCAGCAAAACGGTGGACTTAATTTATTCACTGGTCGCTTTATGCCATCCGGCATGAGTGGCGCACTAAAAGGCAATATCATCAGTCCACATATTAGCGGAGAGAATGGTAAAACACATGACGATGTCAAGCGGAAAGATAATGACAATTATTTCTATATAATGTAAGTATTTTAGTGCATAGTATTATTTATTACCGAAATCGTAGCGGTTACAACCAGGGAGTGAAAATAATTGTTTTTTTTTGATTTTATAAAAGTCCGGGGCAAATTATTGGCGTAGAACGAAGTTATCAATGTTCATTTGGTCCCAAGACCTATTGGTCAACAAATCCTGAATAAAAATTATTTTTATTTTTCGAACTTATTAGGAAAAATTTCAATAATAACTGAAAAATCTTGACTATTATTTGTTTAGTCCAGTAATAACAGCTAAACTTGGCCTAATATTTGTTAAGGCCGAAATAAAAGTCCTTTCCTGATTAAACAAATTTAATATCAAATGAATGTTTCAGTCCTCCACACCTATCTAAATGTCAGTGATCTATGAGCCCTGATAGGACTGATTACGGAACACAATCCATGGGGACGACATGTAGGTTTAAGCCCAAAATACAATAGCGCAATGGCAGTGGCAGCGGAAGTTTTTCGAATCATGAAATAAAGCAAAACTCAGATTTTGGTATTATTTCCCATTTAAAAGTGAAATAAAGCAAGTTTTGCGTTATTGCCGTTTGTGATATTTCACTGCTGATTTCAACATGTAGTCTACAATGTTGCTACCCTGCAGTATATTTCGGGTTTCAGAGGCATAGCGAGGACAAAAGAATACTATGTGCTCCGCGTTTTCAGCCTGTGAAAGTCGGACAGTGTGGGAAATCTCCATGCCCAAATATTTTTAGATATTTTCGGTAATAGTTTGAGTCTCCGTGGGCTCCTTCCAGCCAGTTTTTAATGCATGGAATAAGCTTATGATTCCACCTACCTTTTTCCGATTCATCCCAACGCTTTCGCCAGATCTCCATAGAGCGACATATTTCCTGCTCTGTAACCTCTTTTCAGTTTAAACTGATTGTTCCCACAGATACACGCTTATACACTCACTGCATCTCGTTTGCCTGGATATCGACGGGAATCGGCCCAGCAATTGCGAAGGATACTTCGTCAGATATTGTTCGGAATCCACAAATAGTGCTTAGTGCGCTTAGGCGATACACAGATGTGCATATTTTCGAATAATATTTTAGGCTTATTGCTTCAGCCCAAATTGGAGCACCGTAGAATAAGACTGAGCTGACTTCTCTACTAAGCAATACACTTCTACTATGTTTGGGACCGCCGACATATGGAATTATTCTAGATAAGGATGCCTGTAAATTCGATGCTTTTTTTGCTGCATACTCCAGTTGGGCCTTAAAGTTTATAGGCCATCAATCATTACCCCCAAATATTTGATTGTGGGCTTTGATATTATAGTTTCTGATCCAACACTGAGTCTTATTGCCTCTATGGCCTTTCTGCTACTTATCAATATTGCCTCTGTTTTGTTATCTGGTATGGCGACAGAAAGCGTTTCTCTTCTACGATCGTTATAAGCCTGTTGCAAAGAATTTTTTCGAGGAATTTTTTCAGTGTATCCAGACCTTCCATCTTTTCGTCCTTATTAAGAAAAGTCTGAAACACTTTTACAAATAAATCTGGCCTCATTTTAACTACAGCTTTTAAAGCCTTGTTGGGTATTCTGTCTGGCCCAGAGGCTTTTCCCTTTGGATCTTCTTGCATGCAGTTCGTAAACCCTAATAACTGGCACATCGACAATTTCGTATCGCGTACAGTTTGTATAAATAAATATCTCCAAGTCCATAAACATCCAATTACAATTTGTTAACTTCCATTACTAAACTATTATTTTCTTGAATTAATGTCAATACTTTTTGTGTGGTGATCGAATTAACCATAAATATCTATACAGACGACAAGAAAAAATGAGTGCACTTAATTTAAAAGTGTGGTAAAAAATTACTTAAATGTCAAATGTAATTTTGCTCAAAAATACAACAAAAACCAGCTACCACCAAATCAATTCCATAGTAGAATTTCAGATATGCACGAATGTATTTACGTTCGCACGTAAATGGATGAATATGTCAGCACCAATAAAATGTTTCTAGTTTCTATAAATTGTTAAAGCTTTTTTCTTCACTTTTAAACATTGTTTTTGCTTGTTAGCAAATAATGTGCGAATGAGTTAATAACACGCAGAACATTCTGTAAATGTTAGCTCATGTGCTTGGGCGAATTGATATATCACCTTGAACGGCCAACTAACTTATTCAACATTGACAAACTATACTCGTAGAAAACATTAAATACATATGTATACATATATGTATACTAATACCTACTTATATGGACAGCAATAGAAAAAAAATCCGGTTTACATAAATATGTATGTACATTGTTTCAAACATCTATATTTACCTGGCAAACTTGAGTTGAATTGCCTATTAAACAGTAAACTGTCCGCCAATTTTTGATGTTAAGTAATAATGTGGCGTTAATTCGATGCGGCATAAGTGGCTAGGAATGTACAGTACCTGTTTATATGGGCTCTGATAATTTTGGGTTATATCCACTTATTTATTTGTTTCCAAAGGAAAAATAAACCCGTTATTTTCTTGGTGAAGAACACTTTCACCAATATTGTGGCTAATTTATTTGAACAAAATCCAAAAATTAAATACATGCGCAGTTATTACAGCTAAGAAATATATGTAAGTATTTAAAATAATAAACTTGATCTACATTGCAATATTATTTATTTGTTCGGAGCACTAAAAAATTGATTCTAATGCAAGTTTTTCAAGCGAAACTTCTTAGGGAGCTTTTAACGCCACTGAGTGGGGGAATGAAGAGAGAGGAAAGTGGAGATGAGTCAATCCATGTCAAATCGACCAAGTTTTTTTTTTATCATAAAATGAGGTTCGGTCAAAGAAAAACAATTTCTTTTCGAAACTTCCAAATTTCACAGTTTCCCGGATTTCGCAAGTTTAGTTTTTGAATGTCCCAAATATAATTTTAGTTACGAATATGGTTCTGGTCCCGTTTTAAAGATAACATTTAGGGCCACCTAAAAAAGAATGTTAAAAAAAAAATTAAAAAGTTACCAAATTTTGAATTTTAAAAATCGTTCGGATCAATTTTCTTATACTCGTAACTCATCTTAAAAAATCCTGACATTTTCAAGTAGGCTGTTTTTTAAGATACAATTTTTTAACTTTGAAAAACAAAACAATTGTATTAGAAACTCTAAATTAATTTAAAATTATTTAATGAGACTTTACTTAAAGCTTCACAAATTTTCTTTTTCAAAGTTCAAAAATTCATATCTCAAAAAACACCTTGAAAATTTCACATTTCCTTTAAGACTCCTGTCCCAGTGCCAGTTTTGCAGGCATCAAAAAAGGCCTACACTTTTTAGACGCTCCAGTCGCAGCTAAAAAAAAAAAAAGAGATCTATCATGTGAAGTAGGCATACTGTATACTCTAGTCGTACCTACAAGGCGCAATTAAAAACTCACTTAAAATCGCAAAATATTTTGTTTAAGAAACTAAGTACAATTTCGTAATCTGCTTCACGTAAGTAAACGATGTCATGGACATTTTGTTTGAAAGTAGCCAATATGTAAAGAGCTGGTTAAAAGAAGAAACTGTGTTGGAGAAAGAAAGGACGGTTCAATTACATTATATACATACATTCTTTAACCGATTCTCCAGCCAGTAAAAATTGAGTAAATAAACATACTCTACGATGTAAAGCTTAAAGAATAGCAGGCATCAGAAAATACATAACGCGATTATGTTCAATACATTTCAGGTCATTACCCTGATAATTTCGTAAAAATTGCCAGGGTTCATTTAACTTTCTTAACGGGCAATAAAAGTACTGCGAACGTATATTCACACATAGCTATGTCGCTGAGTACAAAGGGTGTTTTGCCCCCTTCTAGCGCAATTCCAAAAGCCAAACTAATAAAAAGAAATATATGTTGATAAGTAGCACCTTTTTTTTTATAAGTCAATGTATGCCATGCCGAATGCAATGGGACTATGCACTCAATATTAGTCAACTACTCAGTGGCTACCAAATCGAAACAAAGCGACCACCGACTGTAGCGCAACACACATTGCAGCGGTGAGTACAATCATGATCATGTCGAATAGGTTTGAACAATGCCCAAAGGCATCGGCATCGGCATCGGTGGTGTATGTAGTAAGGTCTTTGTTGATCATATACATATGCATATATGTATATGTATAGTATACGTTCTCGTAATATTTTTTAGCTTAATATTTTGAAATCTTTGCATATATGTAATAAATACATTTGTATGTACAAGTATGTATATATTTAAGTACATATCATATGCATATTTATATCGTAAAACACGCATGAAAGTTGGTCAGTTTGTCTGCATTTGTTGGCTTGGAAAACGCAAAAAAAAATACCGCCTTTATAAAATTAATTAAGCAACAGTTCAACGGTGAGTAGTCGGCTGCTAAGTAGTTATATCTACATACGTACCGCAGGCTTCCTGATTACTTGAATTCTGCGCGTCATTTAGCACGAATGTAAAATAAAAACAAATCAAGAAACGACAAAAATATAATAAAATATACTCATACTTTTATATATACATATGCATATACAAATTATCCGTGCCTTTTGTATGTACTTTCGTATGCCTGCATGCAAGTTTATCGGCAATGAGAGTGCATATAAAATTCAGAGACCAAAGTGAATGCTAGTCATTTTTGGTTGCACAGCAAGTCCGGGTGTGACCACAAGAACAACCTACATATTAAAATTAAAATAAAATTAACACTCTACTTTTGGGTATACTAAAATGCATATTTAAAATTTAATAATAGTATTTTTTGATTTTAATTTCTGCTTATTTAAAATAATTGAACACTACGTTGTAATAACTTGTTTTTCCATTTTTTTGTTTTGCTTTATTTCCAGGTGGCGTTCATAAATCAAGTTGACTACATCACCCGCAAAAAGTAACCTACATTCGACTTACACAACTTCTGTGCAAACAAATATTCAAAGTACACATAATTTATTTTATGAACACACATTTGTACATCTAGAGTTGCATACAATTATATATGCTAGTGATATTAGTTTTAAAACAAGTTCTTTTTTTCAACAACTGCAAATATTTACTTACGTAGATTTGCTAAGCCTTAGGACCTAACAGGGAAATAGAATCGAAAAGAATTACGGCTGGTATAGTGCAGAAAGCAGCAGTTACAATACACAATACACAATTCATTTCCACATACAAATGGATCCATCTGATATATTCACTATTTTCTGTTGGCTGATTTGTACACTTTTATTTGGACCCACGTTATTCTTTCTATGTATTTACTTACCTGAATTACCTGTTAGATATATAAAACGCATTCGATCATAGGTAAACTTTAAACTTTACTCATGTAAATTTAGAAATCTACTTCATTGTAAGCGCTTAGTTATTATACATACATATGTATTTGTTATGGTTTAGTAAATAAGGTTTAATGTATTTTTTTATTGAAATAAATATTTTTACTAAACGACACAACTTTGTAAAATTATTTTTGACTATCATACATGTTATTCTAAACTTGAGTTGCCTTATCAGGTCGGCAAAATACGCTACCCAGTGTGGAAAATGAAGGTTTCTGTGACAATGCAAAAATGTTTGTGAAATCTTAAGGCTATGCCAGATAAAACTTTGGCTTCGCGTTGCGTAACAAATTAGCTTTAACAGCTAAAATAAAATGTATGAAAAAGTTGAAAGTAAATTCAACAAATAGAAAAAAAAATTCCGCCATATTGGATCCATAATTTTGAAGTTTTTTAATTTGATGTCAGATCCTTAATCAGCGACTCCAACAACACCTGCGTAACAAGTTTCAAGCTGATCCGATCCATTTTCAAATTATCGTCCGCAAGGCCGTATTTAGGGGGACGGATTACTGTCTAGGGATCACTGTGGCTCGCAACCCAAATTAAAACTCTTACAATTACTTTTTGATAGAAGGACCCCATCTCAGCTCATTTAGCGCTAGGCGAAAACTTGCGCATGAGCAATTGCAAGCTCCTTATGGTCTGGGCTGAATCGGAGGCGATCAAATCGTAATCACTGACCCCAAAAACAGGAAGTCTAATGAAGTTTGAAAAATCACAAGTTAACATTCTTTTGATCGATTCAGCATAGGGGGGGGAGGGGGGTTGACTTTCCTCTTAGAAACCGTAAATGACTTGATCTAGAAAAATGGCAAAATACGGGTACTTTGTATCTACTTCCGTGAATGCTTGATTTTTTCATGGCTGCAAAATCGTGTCAAACGGTGTTATCCGAGCAAAATGTGTGAAATCAACTCAGCACTTTCAATTAGGTGCCTATTAAGGTGTTCGATTATTTGCATTCGCGAAATTGCAATTTGACAAAAACACGGCTCCTAATTTTTAAATTAAGAAAAAACCGGATAACCCGGTTTTATTTTACATAGTTTTCATACAGTGACTAACAATTACAATAAAACCATTAACAGTAAATATAGCTTTGCTTAAAAAATAGCAAAGCAAAACAAGTTCAAAGTTATTTTAGATCAATAGTTAAACAAATAAAAATCAATGAAAAATTCACGTTTGATCTTATTTTAAATTTATTAACTCTTTATTGCATTTTTCTGATTTTTGTTTTGGATTTGAATAGTGCTCTTTCCGCCGTAGCCGAGTGTTTAGAGGTGCATACTGCCACTTGGGAGGTCCAGGGTTCAATATCTTGTCGCAAACTTCTCAGTGTACTTTTCCTATAAAAAAACTTATTCGGAGATGGAGTAAAAGTCTTTTATGGCGTCTTGTTAAAAATCGACTATCCTGTTATTCGGTTAGTCTACTAGTCGATTAGAAACTTTTTTGACAGTTGATAGTCAAATAGCAATTCGACTAACCGTGCACTTTCGGCAAACCGCTCCCTATCGAGTAGTCTGAAAATGGAAATTATTCGAATAGTAACAGCTTTTCACCATAGAATTATTGTTATTAGTGCAGCTGGGTTTTGTCAGCAAGCATAAGTATTCAAAAGATATAAGAAAACAATCTGCCTTATACTGAGTTTCGCCTAAAAAAATTCCCCCGAAAATTTTTCATCCGCCGATAGTAAATACATGGAAACCAAAAGCGAAAAGTGAACCGGTTCAGGGAAGATGAAACTCATGAAAAGGCTGATGAAAACGAAAAGTGAACCGGTTCGGGGAAAATGAAACTCATAATCAGCTTTATCATGAGTTTCATTTTCCCGAACCGGTTCACTTTTCACTTTTGGTTTCCATGGTTTTACTAGGGCGGGATTTAACGTGACGGGACTCAAACGGGTGTTTAGTCGCTACCAAGAGGATACGTGGATATAAATATCAGGATGTCGTGAGCTGCGATTAAATCGTACGCAAATGAATCACTTCTGGCCACTCCTAGGTGAATGGAAGTCAAAAGCTTTCGCCATTTTCCCGTGGTGGTATCGAGAGAAAGATTCTGCGAAAGATTTTCGGCTCTTTGAGCATTGGCGACGGCGAATACCGCTTTACGATTTAACGATGAGCTGTATGAGTTTTACAATGATATAGACATAGTGCAGCGAATTAAAATACAGGAAATACGTATGGATAAAAACGCTCCAGCTCTGAAAGCTTCAACGCGGATCGCGATGCTGGTAACTGAGGAAGAGGTAGGGAAGGCATTTCCAATTGGCGTCAGTTGGTACAGAAGAGAAATGACTGTCGTGCTGTTTGGGACTCGGCCGAAATCGCTTAGGCGGTTACAGCGCCAATAAAGAAAAAAGATATAAAGTTTTTTGTAAGAACAACAGCGGCAAATTTTTATTTTTTAGATCGGGACTTGAACTGATTTTTGAATAGAACCGTGAAGCGTGGTCTTTCTTTGAGTACATGGTCGTCGACAGCTCTTTGTAAACTGCAAACGCTGACGATGAGTTTCGTATTTGCCTGTCTACTTGCCTTTTATTTCACTCTGTTGAATTTTAATTGAAACGCACTGACAACACTTTTAAACTTAAGAAATCATAAAATAATTTTATTTTCTAAAAATGTGTAGAACAAAATTAGGCAATTAGTAAAACACGCACATATTTTGTAAATAATAAAAATATTACTTTGCTTTAATTGATAACGAAAGATTTCTAAAAAACTACACGAAAATGGAGGAGGAAGAGCTGGAAAAACAGATTGATTACTTTCACCCTATTCGCACGAATACAATGGGCATACCACAAGAGCATGACCTCTTAATGGCATATGATGTATATCGACCCGCATTAGAAACTCGTAAATTGAGGTCAGAGCAGAGTCGTACTTTATACGCAGAGATTTTCATGGAGAACATCAAGTTAGGTCCATTGAGAGACCTTTGTACACGCGTCTTAGCTTCAACATTCACACCGGAGCAAATGACGTTCATGGCCGAAGATCCATTGAAACTACGTTTGTACTATGATGCACTGAGTTTGGATCTACCATTGGATGAATGTTACCACATCACGGACGAGAAATATTGGCGTCGTTTTGTATTGGCCAAGAATAAGGACGGTACTTTAGCTTTTAAGAAGGAGCATGAATATGATTGGCGTAGTCTTGGATTGTCAATGAAATTTGTAGAGTTAGTTGAAGCTTGTCCAGCCGAATATTGGCCCGATGATGAAATGCGACCCATAGCTATGAAAATCAAAGATTATGTTAGTGAAATGCATATACGAAAGCTGCAATCGATGTCGGAGCGTTACTTCAGAGATCGTATACATTTAGACGAATCTGATGAAACAGAGAGCGATTCCACGGATGTTGAATCGATGACAGTAACGCCTATCTCTACAGAGGCATCATTGGACAATATGGGCGAAGAGGAAGAGGAGGAATTGGAGGAGGGAAAAAATGCACATAGCGCAGTCAAACATAATACAGATTTCTCCGAATCATATTTGAACTCAGTAAGAGTACAGAAAGCAAATCAAGAAACTGATGATGAAGAAGAAGATGCATGGAAACGCTTCCATCAGGATATATTGGATGAACGCAAAGAAAGAACTCGTGTACTAAGAGAAGCGCAACAAAAACGACGCGCAGAGCGGGAGGAAAGACGACGAATTCGAGAGGCGCTGAAGGTTAAAACTCCACCGCCAGTTGAAGAAGAAACGCCTGGAAAGAAAATATTTCTACCGGAAGATGTGTTCGATATAAGAGTTGAAGAGCCCGAAGATGATGGCCAAGCGCCGATAAGTGATCGGCCTAATTTGGAACGCGCGCTGAAGACAATCAAACTGCTTGAATATCCAATGAGGCTTTGTCATCACGTCAGCTTGCGATTTTTGCGCTTTTTCGATAACTTGGTCAACTTCACCATCGAGTTCCGTGGTCCGGATATGCAACGTGATTTTCATGAGAGACATTTAAATTTATCATACCAGGATATAAGGGGTTTGGCATTGTGAGTAATGCATTTTGAATAGCCAATAAATATGTTTATGTACATATATCACTTTGTCTTATCTATGATTAAACAGCGGTATATCGTTTCTGAAAAAATTAAAGATTTTCCGTTTGCGCTCTAGCAAAATGGATGCGACAAAGTTATATATCCTAGCCAAGTCACTTAAATGTTTGGAAAGTATTGAAGTAATAGATTTCGGTTACGATCACTTGGAGGACGATTGTGGGCTTGGCTTGTTTGAACTGTTTCGTCATAACAACTCCATAAAATCACTGGAGCTTGAGCATAATTTGATTGGATCGCGTGCTATGCATTTCTTGGCAATCGGTATCAGTCGTTTTGGCGGACAGCTGGAATATCTCGGTTTGGCAGGTAATCCGCTGGGTGACCAAGGCCTACATGAGCTAAGCACCAAACTTCTTGGCACGCACCAAATCACTCATTTGTGCTTGCGAACTGCACAGATAACTGAATCGGCGATAATATGTTGCATTGCGAATGAATTTCTAAAACACTTGCCGCTTCAACATCTGGATGTGCGTACCGTGCCAATTAGTCGACAGGCAGGTATCGAAATTTTAAGGGTTCTGCGACTCAATCAAACTATAAAGCACTTTGATGTACGTGATTGTGGTTTGGATGTTGATCTTGAATTGGATATAGATATAATTGTGAAGCGAAATCGATACATCGCGGAAAATCCATATTTGAATGACCCAACGAAGTCTACGGATGAGATTGATGAATATGTAAACCGCATGAAGTGAGGCCATTTGTGGACTATGAAGTTAATCACCGATCAGTATTTTGTATTTTATGTTCTGTATCTTTAGAAATCCGATATTACTACGCGCTTTAGATGCTGTAAAAAAACATGCTGAATGTTTGAAAAATCGTCCACCTGAATTCCAGCCAACAACCGCTCTATTACAACTAGATGGCGAACCACCGGAAGAGGAAACTAAAAGTATCAAATCTTTGGATAAGATAATAAGAAAGACGCAATCGAAGCTGGAGCTAGAAGACGTCTCCGCTTCCTCGA